TTATATTTATAAATGTCCAATTCACTAATTATTTTCTAATTGTTTCTGCTATTTTTGTTCTTTCATCCTACTTTCCTTGGCATTTTCTTCAAACTTATTGAATTTAATGCTTAGCTTGTTTCCTTTCTTTCACATATAATAAAGCCTATGAATTTGCTTAAGATGGATAGCTGCACCTCATAAAATGTTATCTTTTTTAAAAAATTTTTTAAAGATTTTATTTTTTTCCTTTTTCTCCCTAAAGCTCCCCAGTACATAGCTGTACACTCTTTGCTGTGGGGGCTTCTAGTTGTGGCATGTGGGATGCTGCCTCAGTGTGGCCTGATGAGCAGTGCCATGTCCGCACCCAGGATTCAAACCAATGAAACACTGGGCTGCCTGCAGCGGGGCCCGCCCCTGTTATCTCCTTTTTTTAAAGAGTAATCTGTAATCATAACTTTTGTTTCCCTTTGGTTAGTTATTTTGATGTTTAAAATTTTCACTGGGTACTTTTGCGTAAATACCCAGGAGTGTAAATGTTGGGCCATATGGTAACTGTTTAACTTTTTTGAAGAACTGCCAGTTTTCTACAGCAGCTGCAGCCTTTTATATTCCCACTAGCAATCTCTGTGTTGCAATTTTTACACATCCTGTCCAATATTTATTGTCTATCTTTTTGATTACTGCTATCTTAATGGGTGTGAAGTATCTTATGGTTTTGATTAGCAGTTCCCTAATGGCTTGAGTTGAGATTATCAGGTATTGTTGGTCATTTGTTTATCTTCTTGGGAGAAATGTTTATTCACAGACTACTATTATTTTTCAGGGGAGAACACCAAGAATCTAGGTCAGCAACCAAAGAAAGATCTAGACCCCAGCTTTCCTGCATCCCCATTCAGTATTCTTCCATGCAAGTGGCAGACTGAACAACGTGCAGGCATCTCCCATTAGGCTCAAACAAAGCTTTTATTTCAACATTTACATATGGAGAGCTAAGATGTCAAATTTCAGGGTCCAGTGGAAAATGATTGAGACACCACCTTTACACACCAATGAGTTTGATTCAACTCCACAAACATTTATTGAAAGCCTATCATGTGCAAAACCCCGTACTAGGCATGGGTAGAGACAATGAGATCAAAACCCCATCAAAAAATGAAATTCCCACCTTCATTCCTGCTGTCTTACAATCCAGATTTTAGAAGATATATATAAGGCAAAATTGCCACTAGGAAAAGAATGAAAACAGTTGCATTTAAAAACAAATCACACAACTCAAATCGTGGTTTCATCAGTTTCACAAGCTTTTGGCCTTTTATGACTTTAGAATAGCCGTCCATCAAGTCAGTGTAACTTCACGGACTCCTCTTTTGGAATAGGTTTTCATCAGAGTACCTTTGGTATTTAAGAATGGTATTTTATCAGGTAGATCCTATTATTGCCCAGAATAACAGTAAAGTTGTCTTTTAATACGATGTTGCAAAAAAACCCAAAATGCTGGAAGCACAATGCTCAAACCCTGTTTATTTTGAGCAAAGTTAACAGGGAGGATAGTTTGCACGATAAGACAGTAATGTTATAGAACTCATTTAAATTACAACTTTGATGCAGCTGCTTTAAATTTGGTTTTGTGACACGCCAAACTCCTGAGCCAGGTTATTGGCTACATGAAAAAGCTACTCTAATTCCTTTAATTATACACCTTCTTCCTGACCCAGCCTGGCCGCTCACCTTTACTCATGAGGTTTGCATCAAAAACATTTACTGACTATTGCAAAACATTTAAAGAAAAGCATCTCCCACCATGAAGCTATTCCAAGGAACATTTATTATAAGCTCTAAAACCAGTGCCAGAAACATTTCGAGCAACAGCCCTAAGTGAAGGATGTTCACTGGATGGCAATATTATGTATATTTAAAAGCATTTACTTCAGAGGCACATCTCACGCACCAACTCCCTGCCTCAATTCCACCACTCCAATATTCTGTGTATTGTTTATCTCAATACTCTAACGAAGATGACTTCCTCTTCTGGATATAACATTCATTGGTCATCTCTGGAATCTAAGCATCATGTTTGTTCTAACGTGAACTACAATTTGGATCTCACTGCAAATTAGCTTGTGACCTTGGACTATCTCAAGTTTTGCGTTGGATCCTGCTTAAAACAAAAAATAAATAACAAAAGGGAACACATTGGCTGATTCAAATGGTGGCTAAGGAAATATGTATTTTCCAAAAATACTTGAATGAAATTATGGAAAGACAAAAATTGCCTTTGATGGTCTGAATAAAATGTAGTTTTTCAAAAAGTATGCTTGAGATGGATTCAGACTCCTGAAAGTTTTCTAGAGCAGAAAGGACACTACAATGATTCAAAGATAAATTACATTTGATAAGTCTGCACCAAAATTTAATACACTTACAGTTAAAATGCTACTGATGTATTTAAAAAAATTGTGTTTTTTTGCTAAGGAAGATTAGCCCTGAGCTAACATCTGTGCCAATTTTCCTCTATTTTGTATGTGGGTCGCCCCCACAGCGTGGCTTGATGAGTGGTGTAGGTCCGTGCCCAGGATCCAAACGTGCAAACCTGGGCTGCCGAAGTGGAGCGCACCAAACTTAACCAGCGGGCCATGGGGCCAGCCCTTAAAAAAAAAAAATTCTAATAGTGGATCTGGGCCAGTTGGTATGCATAGGCAGAATTAATCACAAGCTTTACTTCATGATATAAAGGAAGGCCCTGATTAAAAAATTTCAGGCAACTGTGATTGAATAAAAAGTCATGAAATTTGAATTTTTCTTATCCTAAGCTGTAATCTTACAGATGCTTCTCTAAATAATGTAGCAATAGATTCTGTTACAAATAAAGGTCTTAGCATATAAATATATATCTAGGTAAATGCAACAGAACATTTTTATATTAAAAATGATCGTAAGCATCTAATATTATAAATAGGGGGAAAAAACTTAATTCTGATGCACCTGTGTCCTATATGAGAGAAATAACATAAACACAAAATGTATAGAACAACGTGAAGATTAAGACCATAAGTTGTATCTCAAAGCAACTTTAAAATTTTCCCAATTTAAAAAACTTAGGGAGGGGACCACCTAGGGAAGGTAGAGGAAGGAAACAATGTTCCACAGGGCATTAAAAAAAACTCTTCTGTTTTCAGCTAGAGATACATGAAGTAGATAAGGAAATTACATGCGGACCTAATTCAGGATTAAGTCACTAAATTAGAGCATGAATGAAAAATGAGTTTCAGGTTGACCCGGCATTGTGTACACTGGTACAAAAACAGCACATAAATTTCCTTTTCTATTAACAATTTTGATAATCAGAGCTAAAATTGGATTTTCTTTATATTGCAGGTAATAGAAAACAACTACAAGGATTCCAAATTAATCTAGTTAATATACTTAGTACTCGTGTAATATTTAATACCTAATCAAAAGAAGCAAAAACTGAAATTTATAGACTATTAAAAGATCCAGCAAGAAAGCCATTCTCTTTCTCGTGTAAAATTCTTCTAATCTGATCATCTGTAACCTGACAATTTTGGATTTAAGCAACATCCACAAACACAATCTTGTTTGTCCATTAAAAAAATGTGATAAACATCACCCTATAGATATGCAATCCCATAATTTTCTAGATGTGAAATTAAGGCCCAGTAACCCAGTGACTTAAGATCACAATGATTAGGCATACAAAATCTTGGCACAAATATGACTGGCCTGGAATTAAACCAGATTTATATATTGCAAATAAAACACTACATATATAAAATCAATGCCATCTATTGATATCCAGATCTTAAGTGTTTTATCAAACTTAGATATAATCAATCAGAAGCTCAACTTAGCATTGCTAAGTCTGGATACATCCAAGCTTTGTTAATTTGCATAAAACTTCCTCTATATAGATAGGAATTACTAGAGTTAGTTTAAACACTCTTCTATCTTTAAAAATTATCCCTTAAGTTTAACCAAACAAAAATTGAATTGTCATTCAATCATATGGCAAGATGTCCTGAAACAAACTTTCATGAATCCTTAGAGAAAGAGAAACTTAAGGCTAAAAAGATCAAACACCAAGTGTTCATCAAACCTTTGAGTCAGTAGAGCCTTTATTAACATGCAAGTATCATGTACCGCAAGATACACAGGTTTTTCTAATCTTTCAGTTCTATTTCAATATTTTAAACTTAAGGTTACTTCTGGATCTAACACATAAAGTAACCTACTAAAATTGGTCAAAGTTAAACTTTATTCTAGCTATCACCTTGACCTTTAAGATCATTTAGGTTTATAATTGGCATTATTTGTCGCCCAATAGCAGAATATAATTCTTGTACTTGGTAATTTTCTATACTAAAATATGTACCAGTATGTCTTAAGAAGTTACTAAAATATATGCAATTAACATTTATATTTAACTGCTTTCAGTAAGCTGGAAAGTATAATGTTAGGTCTTCTAAGAGGAAAAATTACTTTTATAGATCTTGGTTATTTATGGTTTTTGCAGTTTCCAGAAAAACTAGTCCATATTGAGCTAGTCTTAAAGAACTAAGCTGAACACTTAAGTTTATAGAACCTACAACTTTCTTTTACAACTAAGAGAGAGAATAATGAACTGAACTCCAGCGCTCCTTTCCCATGCCTCAGCAGAGACGCTCTGTCATAGTTTTTCAAATTTTTTTGTCTGCTTAGTATAAAAGCTGAATGAGCTCCTTATAAGGTTGATTTCAGTAGAAGACCCACAGATTATGACTATCATATTTATTGGGACATATTTTAATTAACAGAAGATAACTCATATACTATATCAAAGTGCATTATAAGATTTGCACTGCATCTCTCCACGTTTTCCATGTTTTATAACATTTCAGTTGGATGGAGGAAGACTGGAATAGTTCAGAAAAATCTAGCTTTTAATATAAGGATAAAGTTCATAGCGAGTCTTTTAAAACATATTTAAATAATAAGTGTAATCACAACAAGGGACTATGTAAGAAGAATGAATATTGCAAAGGACTTTATAGTCAAGGAAAGTACAGTACTTTGGATTGGCCACAATGCACAAAGCACATGAAATTAAAGTCACGTAGTTTACTTGTTGATCACGTGGCTACAGTTCAAAAAGTCACTGCTCCAAAAGCTGTACCTAGTAATCTTCCAAAATTGCTTTTAAATAAAGTTCTTAAATTGTAGCAATAAACAAAAAGACAAGATACACTTAAACAATACTGCAATTTATCAAAAGACACATAAGAAATTTTAACTCTTATGTCTTTGACAGTTATAAAAATCAATATTTTGGCTAAGTTATAAACATGTTTATAATGCAATTATTTGCATAACTCTATTAATGCTAAAGACGGCTATAAGATCAGAATAGGTTTTTTAAAAAAACACTAAAAACATAAAAATACATAGCCCCATTATTTACCTGTAGAACGTGTTCATGTATGCCTAAATTTCAGCATTTACTATATCACTACTGCCCTAATTTTAAAAATCACATCCAAAGGATAAGGCAAAACCACCTACGAATTGGCATATTTGTTTATTTTTCAATTTGTGAAAATGTCCTTAATTTGTTGATGTAGCAAAGAAATTTCAACTCTGATTGCTATGCAAAAGAAAAGAAGATAATCTGCTTTGCAATGAACTTTAAAGTTCAATTGCACACAGGCAACATGCTATATATGAAAAAATTACTAACTGAACTACAGGTATTAAATACTGAAAAAAGTTAACAGTTTATTATAATTTATTTTATTTAACAATCTAGGAAGTTCGCAGCCATCAGCAGTTCCAGTGCAATTTCAGGTGCAATTGGGAATTCAGGAATCTCCGTGGAGCTGTTAGTGTAGCGAACCTTGTAGGTAAAATACATGCATACTTTTGACAACACATGTGAAGGGATCTCTCTAAAATTGACTTCATTAGTCTCGTTCTCAGCAAACTGACCTGTAAAACAAAAGGAGTATTTTTGTTATGGGCTGAACTTGTTCCTCCAAAATTCATATGCTGAAGTCCTAACCCCCAGCACTTCAGAATATGACTGTATTTGGAGATAGTTTTTTTTTTTAATATTTAGGAAACATTTTAAAAATATGGAGTGCTTCACGAATCTGCATATCATCCTTGTGCAGGGGCCATGCTAATCTTGTGTGTAATCACTCCAATTTTAGCGTATGTGCTGCCAAAGTGAGCATAGAGATAGGGTCTTTAAAGAGGTCATTAAGGCAAAACAGGCTATTAGGGGCCCTAATCCAACCTGACTGGTGTCCTAATAAGAGGAGATTAGGTCACAGACACACAGAGGGAAGACAATGTGAAGACACATTGGGAGAAGACAGCCTTCTACAAGGCAAGGAGAGAAGAAGCCAACCTTGCCAACATCTTGACCTTGAATTTCTACCCTCCACAATTGCGAGAAAATACATTTCTGGTGTTTAAATCACCCAGTCTAAGGTACTTTTGTTATGGCAGCCAGAGAAAACTAACACAATGTGAAAAGAAAAACTCGAACTAGCATAAAACAAAATATCTAACTCTGATTTCTGAGTATAAACACAAAAAAATCTTTATTAAGATAGCATTTGAGATTCATCAAGAGTGAACTTAGGGGCTGGCCTGGTGGTGCAGCGGTTAAGTGCGCACGTTCTGCTTCAGCAGCCTGGGGTTTGATGGTTTGGATCCCGGGTGTGGCCATGGCACAGCTTGGCACACCATGCTGTGGTAGGCGTCCCACATATAAAGTAGAGGAAGATGGGCACGGATGTTAGCTCAGGGCCAGTCTTCCTCAGCAAAAAGAGGAGGATTGGCAGCAGTTAGCTCAGGGCTAATCTTCCCCCCCAAAAAAGAGTGAACTTAAAAATTCTAATTCTCTCCCAGAAGTTTGGACACCTAAGTAGCTTTTCCTAAGAATCCTGGTGGCATGATTACTGAAGGGTGAGTAGGACATAAAAAAGCCAAATCTTTTAGAAGATTCAGTCTAGGGAATCAAGTCTTTATGGATCATTAGGAGTCCTGTGCTATACTCAATTGCGATGTAAAAATAACTAAGTAAATCCATTATTTCTCTTTAGTTTTCAGAAATATGATCATGTTAATGAGATCTCCTCATAAGCTACTTCCCTTTGTTTAATAACACTGCATAAACTGGTTTTAGTGATCTCTCAAAATTTCCTTAGCTATATAAAGTTTATATCATTTAGTCTTGTGTATAGGGACAAGATATTTTCTTAGCAGTCTAGCACTAGCAGCAGTGTGTACTGAATGTAAAAGGCAGAAAACTATACTTTCTGAGAATGTAATAGTTTAAAAATTTTCTAATAATTGTCTATTGGTTGGGGCAGGGTGGGGTGAAAGGTGAGCAGGATTCAGCAAATAATTCATAACAATAAGGTAAATTTTGGTTTGCCAATAACTAAACCTCACTTTATTGAATATATGTATCAGATATTACTAATAGGCACTTATTAAGCCTTTGATACTAGACAAACATTAGTGGCTTTTTTTGTTTTGAGGTGAAATTCATATATCATAAAATTAACCATTTTAAGGTGTACAATTCAGTGTACATTCACAATGTTTTGCAACCACCCCCTCTATCTAGTTTCAAAACACTCTCATCACCCCAAAATAAAACCCAGCACCCTTTAAGTAATTACTCCCCATTTCTCCACCCCCAGCCTCTGGCAAACACCAATGTACTAATGGGATCATTCAACATGCTACCTTTCTGTGCCTGGCTTTTCACTTAGCATGTTCTGAAGGGGTATGAAGGTGCATGTTGTAACATGTACCAGTACTTCCTTTTTATGCAAACATTAGTTTTGGGCTGAAAGCCTGGTGCTTCAAACATAAACCTCTTGTTTTAAATTAAAGGAGGCCAAGATTACAAAAAGCAAAATCCTTGAATCTTAATTTTTAATTAAAATTTTGTTGGCATCCCTGATTTTTTTTCCTACAGTACCTCCTGTCTAGTAGAAAAGTCTAAAAGCTATTCAACCCAGGAGTAATGAGTACTGCTAGCACCCAGACTAGGGTCCCTAACTACCTTTTTCCGTTAAAAGCAAACAAAGTTCTTTGGAAAAAATGGCTGTTTTCAAGATTGGGGAATAATGTACAAAAGAAGCCTAAGAAATCTTGTTATTACAGAAAGTAGTATAACTATGCCAGCCCTGGTGGTCTAGTGGTTAAGATTCGCCGCTCTCGCTTCTGTGGTCCAGGTTTGTTCCCCGGTCAGGGACCCACAGCACCCATCTGCTGGTTCTCATACCGTGGTGGCTGCGTGTTGCTGAAAGCTATGCCACCAGTATTTCAAATACCAGCAGGGTCACCCAGGGTGGACAGGTTTAGCAGAGCTTCCAGACTAACAGACTAGGAAGAAGGACCTGGCCAAGCACCTCTGAAAAAACTGGCCATGAAAACCCTAAGCCCTGCAGCAGAGCACTGTGTGATACAGAGCTGGAAGGTGAAAGGATGGCGCAAAAGACCAGGCAGGGTTCTGCTCTGCTGTCCACAGGGCGCCGGAGTCAGGACCAACTCCATGGCACGAACAACAACAACAAAGCATGACTATCCGAGGCTAAGGAGTCATATCAAAGGACACAGCAGCCAACCTGATGTGCTTCCTTCTGGCATAAACATGGAGAAACAGAGCAATCTGAGCATCAGTAAGAATGCCTGCACCGCAGTGAAAAACATCAAATATAAACAGGTCATGAGTCAATAATGCTATGCAAAAAAACCAGACAAAAAATAAAACAAACACTATTTACTACACTCTTTATTACTGGAAGGTGCTGTCATTACTCTGAAAAATTATACATAAAGGGAAAAAAGCAAGCATTTATCTTTGCTTTTCTGTACAGACTGTATTTCAGGGTAACCAAATAGATCTTTTTAGGAAAACTCTAATAAATGCAGAAGAAATTACAGAGTTAGAAAAATCACTGTTTTGTAATTCCAAATGAAGTAAATCTCAGCAATAATCACAATGAATGCTAAAACCATTATATGAAAGTCTGACTGGGGAACTGTTTATGGATGAATCAGCTTGATAACCCTGGAACCTACTAATCAATCTTGACATTGCTAAAAGATATGACAGAATTTAAGAATACAATAGGACCACCTATAGAGTACTCTTGTCTAGAAAAATGAACTGGATTCTAATCAAGCCTCTAGAGTTCTAACTATGAGTTTGTAAGATGAAATACTAAGTCTAATCCGGATGTGGACATTATACAAATAAGCTTGTTTCTCTGTAAAACTGATGATCTGCAAAAAAGGGAGGGTACGGGGGCTGTCATAGATTCTGCAAGTGAAACGACTCAATGCAAGGTATTTGCTTGAAATACTCAAAAAAATAAAATAGGGTAACAGACGAAACAAGATTGGCAAAATGTTGCTAACTATTAAAGCTGGTTGATGGCTATATGGAGGTGATTATACTATTCTCTCTACTTCCGTGTATGTTTTAAAATCTCCACAGTAAAAAACGTAGAAAAGGAATTGCAAAGGACCCCAAACAGCCAAAAACACTTTGAAAAAGACAAAGTTGGAGGCCTCTCACTTCCCAATTTCAAAACTTACTACAAAGCTACAGTAATCAAAATAGTGTGGTACTGGCATAAGGATAGACATATAGATCAATGAAAGATAACTGAGAGTCCAGAAATAAACCCACACATCTATGGTCAACTGATTTTCAACAAGAGTGCCCAGACTGTACAACGGGGGAAAGAATGGTCTCTTCAACAAATGGTACTGGGATGTCCACACGCAAAAGAATGAAGCCGAATCATTATCTCACACCATATATAAAAATAACTTAAAATCAAAGACTTAAATGTAAGAGCTAAAACCACAGGACTCATAAGAAAACAAAGGGGCAAATCTTCATTACCATTGGCTTTGGCAATGGATTTTTAGAGAGGACTCCAAAAAATACAAACAACAAAAAGGAAAATAAATTGGACTTCATTAAAATAAAAAGCTTCTGTGCATCAAGACACTATCAAGGAAAGACAACCCACAGAATGGGAGATAATATTTGCAAATCATATATCTGATAAGAGTCTAATATCTAGAATTTATAAACAGCTCTTACAACTCAACAACAAAAAGACAAATGACCCAATAACAAACGGGCAATGGACTTGAATAAACATTTCTTCCCAAAAGATATACAAATGATCAGCAAGCACACAAAGAGATGTTCAATATCATTAATCATCAGGGAAATGCTAATCAAAACCACAAGGAGATACCACTTGACACACATTAGGATGACAGAATTAAAAAAATGAAAAATAACAAGTGTCAGTGAGGATGTGGGGAAACTGGAACCCTCATACATTGCTGGTAGGAATGTAAAATGGTTCAGCCACTGTGCAAACAGTTCAGCATTTCCTCCAAATGTTAATACAGAATTACCTTATACTTCAGCAATTTGAATCTTGAAAACTTTTTTCTTTGAAGTAAGAAAAATTACCTCAAAGAAGAAGAAGAAGAAAAGAATATTTAAGAATAGCTATCTGGGAGGTGGTAACTTCTACTGAAAAACTTTACATGTAACCAGGAGCACAAATCACCAGTCCTTCCGTGGTTAAGAAATTGACCATGGAAACCAATGCAGGGAAATGATCCTTCCTATTACAAAATAATCAATTCAGTCTTATTGAAACTGGGGTAAATAAGTGAAAACAGGAAATAGCAGAAACTAATTTTTTTCTTTTTGTGAGGAAGATTGGCCCTGAGCTAACATCTGCTGCCAATCTTCCTCTTTTTGCTTGAGGAAGATTGTCACTGAGCTAACATCCTTGCCAATCTTCCTCTATTTTATGTGAGATGCCACCACAGCGTGGCTTGACAAGTGATGCTAGGTCCATGCCTGGGATCTGAACATCTGAACCCTGGGCTGCCAAAGCAGAGTGCATGAACTTAACCACTATGCCGTTGGGCTGGCCCCAAGAAACTAATTTTTTTTCCAATGCAAAATAATCGTGCAATGATGTTATTAGAACAGTTACTGTCTCTCTCTCTTTTAATGTTATGAGTCATTTAATTCAACTGAAAAACTTACAACACAACTTAAAAACACATCCATCAAATATTAAAAGTGAACCTATACTAAGAGAAATTAAACAAATGTACCTACCTGGGCCACTCAACATGGCTTTGATTGTTCCTGATGTTAGTGCGTGTTCTCTTTTTACAATAAATTCATGGCCATCAGAGGATATCAATTTGACATACATGGCATCAGGGCCTTCACAGCCACCATAGGTTTTCTCCTCTCCATCTAAAGTAAAGTAAGTAGTAAAATGACTTTTGAATCACAAAACTTATTAAAAACAAACAGGTTTACCAAGATTAATATTTGAGGAAGTCAGACCAGAGACGCTTCTGGAGGGTAATAGTCGCTATGATTTTGAAGGTTTTAACTTCTTGTTCTATTATTCTCTAAACATTTTCCAGCATCAGAATAAACTCTACATTCAAGAATGTTACTCTAGATGAAAATTTACCAGTATTTTTCAAAGAAGTATTAACAGTTTTTCTGTGACCACAGGAGCACATTCAAATCTGAAGACAAAGAAAAAATATTCAAATAGTAAAACTTTAATCCTATCACCTGAAATACTAATTTTTCAAATAAGATGCATAGTGTGTTTATGAATGAATGTTTATATGCCACATGAGCTCAACTTCTTCGGACAAGCCCCAAATTCTAAAAGTTAGGGCTTCCTTTACTCAGCATTTACTCTTGACCCATAAAAATACTGATCAAAAACATTTTATTGCCCTGTTTAAATTATCACATGATTGACGTAACGAATATAAACAAATATCAGTCTTTAAAAATTCAAAGGAGAGGGGCTGGCCCCATGGCCGAGTGGTTAAGTTTGCACGCTCTGCTGCAGGTGGCCTAGTGTTTCGTTGGTTCGAATCCTGGGCGTGGACATGGCACTGCTCATCAAACCACGTTGAGGCAGTGTCCCACATGCCACAACTAGAAGGACCCACAACAAAGAATATACAGCTATGTACCGGGGGGCTTTGGGGAGAAAAAGAAAAAAAAAATTCAAAGGAGAAGTGAGAAGAAAGAGTGTGAAGATGCGACTCTGCTACCAGCTACCTGCGTTGCCACCATGCTGGCTTCAGACAGCAGCTAGCTCAATATAACTTCTTTGTGGGGTATATATATATCTGCACATCCCTTTAAGGTCTTTTCTCATATGTAACTTCTACATTTTGTCCTGACAGGATTTTAATTTTTATGATTACCAATAGCTGAAAAAAAAGGTGTCTTACTAAAAATTGAGGAAGTCCTAGAAAGGAAAAGTACAAAGGACGAAGCTGAAGTATCGTTCAGCTACAAATCCATTTACTTGTTCATTTGTTAATAGTTAATTTAGAAATCCTAGAACTGAGGTTAATAAATATCAATATCACTTATGTACTACTGATGCTAAAAATGTTTAATCTGAATCTAATCAGGAGGAAACACTCAGACAAATCTAAATTAAAAATTGCCACGACAGACCTCACCTGTCACCACCCCAAAGGCAGGGAACTGTTTAAAGGAGACTAAAGAGACAAATTACTGCAACAAGCGATCCTTGATTGGATCCTGAATTTTCTTCTTCCTCTATGAGAATGATAGTTCTTCCCATTCAAAAGTGTATTTGCTCCTTCCTTAATGTAACTCTTATCAGAAGTCACAATAAATACAAGTTTCATCTTTTACCCCAGTTTTATTGACATATAATTGATATACATCACTGTGTAACCCTAAGGTGTACCGCATAATGATTTGACTTATATATATTGTGAAATGATTGCTACAATTTTAGATAGCATCCACCATCTAATATAGATACAACAAAAATAGAAAGCAAAAAAAGAAAAAAATTTTTTTGTGATGAGAACTTAGGCTTTATTGCTCTCTCAATAACTTTCACGTACATCCTACAGCAGCGTTAACTACAGTCGTCATGCTGCACGTTACTCCTCAGTATGTATTTATCTCGGAACTGGAAGTGTGCCCCTTGACCCTTTCTCCAATTTCCCTCCCCCCCACCGGCATCCTGGATTTAAAATAATAAATCTGCTGCAAAGAACACTATTGAAACAACTGGAAACCTTCAACATGGACTGAATTAGAAGATGCACGCTGAAGTATTTAGCTGTGGAGTGCTATATGAACAACTAAATCTTAAATGGCACAGAAGAAAAGCATTTATGTAAGTGTGTGTATGTGGGTACATAAACACACACATACAGACACACACACGCATACATACACACAGGGAAAGCAAAATGCTAACAATTGGTGAAGGCTATGTAGTGTATTATTCTTGCAATTTTTCATAAAAAGCTGGAGGACTCATAAAGATGCAAGTAACTTCTAAATCATAGACTATTCAAGCATATAGATTTTTAGCAGTTTTTGCCAACTTCTGAGAACAAAAATAAAATTATCAATTATTTAAGTTTATACTCAGTATTTTTTGCAAGCTAAACCATTTTATATGTCTCTTAGGAAAGTTTCCAATTTCTTAAGGTATAATACAATAATTAGGAATCATGAGTTTAGGAATGTGAGATTAGGAATCACAAATTATATTTGGCACAATAATGTTACACACCTGCCTTTCAGGAATAAATAGTAAACATAACCTGTTAGTTTAAACAACTAATTTCAGTCTACTTTGACCATTTTCTTACTTGCATTCACTGATGTCAAAGGCTTATCTTTGAGAAGAAAAACCAGCTTCTACTAGTTGAAATATGAAATTACTTTTATATAACTCACCCATTATGTTCTTATGAAATTCTACTTCGTTTCCACAGGAACTTAGGAGTTTCCTGAAAATATAACAATGCTGTATTAAGATTAACACTGGAATGGACGTATTTCCACCCACTGTTACTTCATGGAGTCCTCGGTGTTACAAGTTTAAGGACTCCCTCTCTCAGCTATGCAAGAGTTTCCCAGCCACCACAAGACACAGTATCAAGTTTCCGAACATCTGAGAAAAGATGACCACCTCTACGATAGTAAAGGCTAACCACAAATTTGTTCCTTTTTTCCCCCTTTAAGGTATTCAGACAACAGTTTAAAAATATAGACGTTGCTCCTTAGGACCTGAATTGAACTTGAAGGAGATCATTGGCTTTAATCATCTTGTATACTGTATCTGCTAGATATCAGTAGACACTGAAACAAATATTTGCTGAATGAATGACAACATGATGAATCCAAGCAAATGAAGCTTTCATGAGAATCAAAAAGGTAAGCCTTGCCCTCTTTGACATTATTGTGCACATCTACAGAACATTTTACGGTGCCATCCCTTCTGCATATAGGCTACCAAAGTTCTGAAATTTAACAACGAAGTGGTAAATAATCCATAATTTTTAAAATCATAAATTTTACAAAATAAGATGACTGTTAAAGGGAAAGGGCTAATGTTTTCAGTAATTTGTATTTTAACAGCATTTCCTCAAAGGAGGATTTTATTTATACCAGTATTATGTTTTATGTCATTATCAGGAAAACAGCATATCCTACTTATCCTATTCTCTAAGAAATTCCTGACCAATATTTTAATTCTAGCCTTTAGGGAAGGGTCAAGAAAACGAACCATAACATTTTAGAGCAAGAGAGGAGTTTGCAAGTAACTATGTAATCTCTCACCCTAAGAAATGATAACATCATTGATGTACAGAAGGGCCGAATGATTTGTTCCGGGTAGCAGAGTGGGAGTAGAAATTGAATCTATCTGTCAGTCTAGAACACCTGCTAAGCATTGGAGGGAGATACTATTTAAAGTACTATTTCTGAAGTGAGATAGAGGAGCAGGGGTGATAGAACATTATTACCCAAAATTTGAGGGCCTAGTAAGTGGTAAACGCACTATACGCCATACATTATCTTAGTTTAAAACAACACTTCCACAAGGGGATTATTATTCCCATTTTAGACCTGAGGAAACACCAAGAGGCTGCTACCTGCTCAACGCTTCTACCGCTGAAGTGGCAGCAGAAGATTTAAACCTACGTAGGCTTCCTTTACAGCCCATATTCCCCTCCATTATTCCACACTGCCATGGTGAAAAATTCTGGCTCCTGTTAAAACTTCTTTTCCACTACTGCTGAGAGCTGCTGATATAAATCCTTAAATAGTTGTCTAAAATTTAAAAACAGTACTATGTCATTTTATGATAATAGTAGGTAATTAAAAAATTCTTCAGTGATTATTATTTTCTCCTGTTCATACTGTTTTGTAGTCATTCTTCTAAAAAGACAAAATAGGAAAAAATGCTAGAAAAGCTATAACAAGAACCAAGTGCTAACTTTCCTATCTGGAAAATCTCCAGAGCAAAACATCTAGGATGTTTACTTAACTAGCAGTAGCTAAGCAACCACGCAAAGTCACATCTCAGAAGCTCTCTGGGTAGCAACAGTTTCTCTACCGACTTCTTAATATAGTAAATCAGTTCCACCATTTATACAAGGGGTGGGGGTGGGGGCGGGTAGAGAGATGCCCCATCACTAACAAAGTGTTAAATCAACATTAACAGTGAAGAGTTCATCCTAATTCCTAGGTAGAAGTTAAACATATTTGAAATATCATTAAATTTAGATTTAACCCACAAATTACTTAGAGAATCTAAGTTTGAGTAACAAAATCTCAGCGTGACATCTGCACATTTATTCTATAACCGAGCTGAGTTCTAGAAATGTAAATTCGGTAGGGAAAAGCAAGGTCCCTTAGGTTGAGGGGCAGCGGCTTGAGAGTAGCTTTAGGCAGAAGATACATCATCAGCAAAGGCCTGAGATGTCACTAGGGTTTTAGCGTTAGATATAAACATTACTCTTTAATAGTTTTCTGTTTTTTGGGTAACAAATAGAAATTCTAGGTGAGCCTAGGGCCTACACCGAAATCAGTTTTGAATCTAATATAATTGAACACTGAAAAGATCTTTGCAAAGCTCATCCTTTTTTTGCTTTGAAATGTTGCCTTTATCACACAGTTCTGTCACTACACGGACTGCCAAGCTGCACATAGTCTGTCCCATCAATCAGTTTACACCTGACCGATATCCCTACTGTTTTAATTACGATAGTGTGATAAAGATGTTTTGCTGAATGGTTGGGCAAGTCCCCATTTTGTTATTACACATTTCTTGTTAAGTCTACTTTCAGTTACTTTACAGTTTCTATTATGAATGAGATCTGTTTTCCTATTATACTTTTGAAAGGTTACTGCTGGGGTTTTAAAGAAAAGCTCTAAAATTTGGGAGGTTGATCTTGTATCCTGTCATCTTCACAGAACTCTCTTATTAGTTTAATAGTTTTTCACTTGACTTGCTTGGATCACCTAAATAGATGATAGCAACAGCCACAAATCCATTCTTCGTATCTTTTTGTCTTTTCACAGTGGCTATTTACTTGGAAAAAATAAGGTTAAATGTCTAACTGACCTCACTCACAAAAATACACTGCAGACTAAAGGACCAAATGTTAAAAAACCACTGAACTCTGGAAAAATAGTAGAAGAAAAAATACAAATAGCTCAGAGACCTGTATATAAATGCTTGATCCCAACAGTAATCAGGAAAACGCCAACTAAAACATTAAAAGTTGCTAAGAATCAAGTGTTGGGGGCAGGGAAAATGGGTGATACTACATAAACGGCAGAGTAGTTTCAGAAAGCAGGCACAGGATCACCAGACGGCTAGCAGCTCTCCTTCCTGGTATCTGCTTTAGAGTAACACTCGCACTGTGTGCAAAGGCAAGGAGGAGGATACTTACTACAATGTGTGTACAAATGAAACTCTGAAAACGTCCTAAAAAATTCACCGATTAGGGAATGAGCTAAAAAAAAAAGAGTCTATCTATATTTATGAAACATTATGGGGCAGTGAAAAGGATTAAGTTGAATCTGTATGTGTAATGACATAGAAATACCACCGAGATAAACTTAATTTTTTTAAAAGCAGATTAGAATGATAGGTAGTTTGATGCCATTTATGTAAAGTAAGCAGCTTCTTGCCTATTAATTTCATGTTTTCTGCAGATAAATAAAATGTATAAAAATACATGTTCAAAACTATAAATAACTAGAAAACTGTGATTTAAAATAGATTTTTATAAAGAAACAAGTGTGTAGAACCAAGCAGCTCATGAAGTGAACAATGGTCACTCTGCCTGACAATTAGTTTTTAACTGTATGTAAGAATATAACTAATTTGGAAAACAAAATAAATTACATTAACAAAAGATTATTTAATTTTCAGGCCTATTTGAAGAGGCAAGAAGAGAGGCTTTGGCCACATAATATAAATTGACAGAAGTTAGGATGCAATTCCAATTTGTAATAAGACATCAAAATATCCTGCCTAGAATGTGCCTGTAGTGTCACTGAATTTACATCTCTTCAGACGAGTTAAAAGTCTCATTCTGGCTTACTCAACATATAACAATGCTCCTATATTTAATTCTTGCATAGGTATTCTTAATACTTTCAGCAAACAGAGCCCCTTCCCCATTTTTTCCTCCATTGTGGAATTTATAGTTTTCTTCTCTAGTAGATACAAGTGGTTCACAGCTGCCTTGGAAGTGTGTCTTTTTGGATATATTTTGTGTCCCCGACTAGCTGTAACCTTCGACAAGGCAGGGAGGTCCTCACTACGACCCCACATATCCAGCACAATGGTAATGTGGTAATGTTAACAAAGTGAAGCTTCACACAAAAATGTATCTGCCAGACATAGTTAGTGTTATCCTGAGCTTTCTAACAGAATAAAGTTATTCAATGGCACAATGCTTTTGACCAAAACTGATTCTTTTCATGTTTTTCCCTTGATGTTGGAATTTAATAAACTTTGAACTTTTAGACAACCATGATGAAAACTGCTCTTTCTAGGAAACATCTATTTAAGATTATTGAAATATTTTGGGTTATAGAGAGGGGAGGGAATGACTACTAAAGGAGATGGTATTCCATTTTTCACAACAGAATTTACTCAATCTGAATTCTAATTCTTAAAGCATTTTTGTTTTAAAGACTGGCAGGACATAGTCACACTTTATGAAACTGTGATAACCAAAACATCAGTCTCACAATTTGGTACCATATATTATTAATTATAATTGCAAGGGTATGAAACATGTATTTCCGTACACGATTCCTGCAATTTCAAGTTACCAGAACTAACTCTTTTAGTCATCCGATCATTTTAAGTATTTGATAATGTCCTCCAACCTTCTAGGGTTACAACTTGCTCCCATACATCCCTGAGTTTCAAAACAACTTTCATTCTCAGTGGCAGAGCACAGGAAGTCAGAGGGACGTTCTTTACTTTTACTAACAGTCTGTTAGATCATTTAAAGTCAAAGCACTGACCTCAGTTTTCAATCTGTTTCTGATGGCTAACAATCAGTAACAGCCTAATTGTTGTCCCAAATGGTCAAGTTTTCACTACTAAAATAACGACTCATCTAATAATACCCAGTAATCAACTGTATTATAAAAATACCTCAGCAGCAAAACCTTGGTTTCTAGTAAACGCCCTCACAATGCCAATTCTATGATCTGCTTGTCAGGAAGCGCAGGCCTTTAGGAATTATGACTAGAAGAAATCTCTCCAACATTTAAGGACCCTATTTTAGACTGGCCACAAACGATCAATCAGAACTATTACGTAGGGTGGTGAGGACCACAACAGACAATCGTCACTGTGATGTTAAGTGGTCCCCAGATCCATTGGGAATGATGGTTCTAGGTTACTTACGTTTTGGTAAGTTATAGCTGTTTCATATCAAATTACAAGTGGCAAAAATGATAAACATGACTTTACTCCTTACACTGGAAAGGAAGAGTAAGTGAATCAAAGCATACAGCTAGAAATGAAAATCTCTTCAACAAATTAACCTGGAAGAACTGGGTATCTATATGGAAGACAAGAGCCTCACTCACACCTTACATCACATACAAAAATCTATTTGAAACAGTTCATAGAGGTAAACCTAAAAGGTAAAATAACAAAACCACTAGAAGAAAACACAGACTATGTTCATGACATCAGTTCATTTCTATGTTCATTTCTTAAACAAGAAACAGAACGAACAAATCATAAAAGAAAAAATCAATAAATAGGATTCCATCAAAATAAAAAACTTCTGCTCACCAAAAAACATGAAGAAAATGAAAAGGCAAGCCATAAACGGGGAGAAAATATTCTCAGCACAAATCTGATAAAGGATTTGTATCCAGAGTAAATTAAAAAGCTTAACACTAAGTGTTGGAGAGGATATGGAGCAAATGAGCTCTCCTAGACTGCGATGGGAACAGAAAATGGCACAGTCACTTTGGAAAAGTGTCTGGCAGTTTCTTAAAAAAGTCAAACATGCCTCTATCTTATGACACAGTAATTCCATTTCTAGGTATTTATCCAAGAAATAATCTTTTACAAAAAAACTTTAACAAAAACGCTCACAGAAGCTTTATTCACAAATAAATGGGAAACTACCCAGATGACACACAAGTGGTGATATATTCATACAAAGGAATTCTATTTACAACAAGAGGGATGATTTACTGATACACAAGGCATGGATGAACACAGCAAATATTACAGTGAGTACGAAAAGCCAAAGAAAAAGTACATACTTTATTATTTTATTTACATAAAATTCTAGGACAGGCAAAACTAACTTATGGTGCTAGATCAGGGGCTGCTTCTGGTGGAGGAGTGATCAGGAAGGAGCATGAGGCAACTTGCTAGAGTGATAAAACTGTTGAGTCCTGATAACCATTTGTGAAAACTAAATGGTACACTTACAATTTCACAGTATGTTAATTACTCCTCAATTTTATAAAAATAAGACTAGAGTAAGATTTTTCAAAATTTTATTGGTGGTTTTTGTTAAATTACGTATCTTTTACTCAAAAGATATCATCAATCTAGATGGTTTTCTGCCTGATTAACCTTTCAGAAGATACTTGAACTGATAATAAAATCAACCCCAATTCTCTGGATATGCAGATGTTGACAGAGGGGGAAGTAGGAGTTTGGCAGTCCCAAAGAAAGTAAATCTGAGACTATGAATCTGTTAAGTAAACAGCCATAAAAAGAAAGCAGCTTTTGATGTGGGTCTCAACAGATGGAGGGGGTTTTACTAGGCCAAACTGGAAGGAGGGCTGTCCAGGCAAAGCAAAGAAAATGAGTCAAGGGTGTGTGTCAGGGCTGGTATACAGAGGAACTTAGTGTCATTCGCAGTCCACACCAGAATTTCTACTCTTCCCACTTCTATCTCGAGACCTAGATGGGTTAAGTGATGACTTCTGTTTCTTCAACTCCCAAATGAGGAAATTTGGCTAAATTGTGTCTAAAAGTCCCTTCCAGCTCTACTATTTCACAACTGAATCCATCTGAAATTCATACTCCCTCTACAACAAATGCCTTTAACTCCCAACTTCCTATCAGCATTAACCAGAGCGGCTCCCCCACACAGCACAGAACTTAAGGGCTCCAGAGGACTGTGTGTTCCTACCAAGTCTGTCTGCCTCACTCCTGCAACCTACCTCGTCTCCCTCCCTCTTAGTGATCTTCGAATTCCTTTGTTCTGGCTTAAAAAGTATGAGCAAATACTCCCACTATGTAGTATGTATCTAATTATAGATTCTCTGTATCACAAAGTAACTACAAAGAACCTTTAGAACGATGGGCTAAAAATAAACACAAAAAACAAATATAAAATAAGTTCTGACCCTGCCTCATGCCACCGCTAAGCATTCATCAGGGCAGGCACTACAGTCTCACAGTCCTTATACCATTAACTCCTGCCCTCTCCTCTGATGTAGCTACCCATCCAAATCCTAATCCTGGCCAAACTCAATTCTCTGCCTGGCTCAGGCCTCAACCAAAGAACTGAATGTGGTGGAGAAAAGACACAACCATCTTGCGTGGTCTCAACTTCAAAGGTATGACCACACACTTTAAATAGGCACTTGGCCTTATAGTGATCCTCTGAGTGGACTGGCTTTCCTCCTCTGAGAAAATGTACAGCTTCTCCTCAACTTCCAACACCCTTCTCCTCCCTGCCTTGACAACTTCACTTACTTCACCACGAAAACAGAACCAATCACTGCAGTTGCCTTGTCTTTCCAGCTTCATCCTACCTGCCTCTTCATACCACATACTCTGTCCACCCTCCTGTTTCAAATTGAATAAAACCATCCTTTCTATCCTATGCCAACCTTTCCACTTCAGCACAGCTATCCAAGGACTGTGTCCTGCCATCAACACATCAAAATGCTGTAGCATCATCAGACGTTTGACCCACTAGTCCAAAGGGCTCTTAACAAATGTCAACCCCTTTGCTTGGTCACATGGTCAATTTTTAATCATCATCTTACTTTTAGCAGAGTTTTACAGTTGACTACTCCCTCCTTTCCAAAACATTTTCTTCCCTTAGTATGACAGATGCCACACACCCCCTGGCTTTTCTGCTTCCATCACTGTTTGCTCCTGTTCCGACCAGAGTGCTCCCATCTGCCCTCTTCTCCATTAACACTCTCTACTCGATGTCCTCCAGTCCATAGGTTTAAATATCACCTATAAAATAAGACTCTCAGATAATCTCCCTAGCTCAAATTCTCCCCTGAGCAACAGTCATGGATGTCCAACTTGCCTACGGTACCTATTCTGAGCTGTATAATAGTTACCAAACTCAGCATGTCCCATACAGAATCCCTGATTCCATTCCTCTGAAGCCAGTGCACCCTCCCCAGTCTTCCTCTTCAGTAAATGGCACTACTGTTGACCCAGAAGCTCAGGCAAAACAGTTAATTCCTCATTTTTTTTTTTTTTTTTTTTGTCCTAAGGGTGAAGGCAAGACCCATTTGGCTCGGTCTTCAAATTACATTCCAAATAAGGCCACTACCCACTAACTTTCAACCCTCCATCTCTAGCACAAGCTACCACATCTCAACTGGACTACTACAAGATTCCATAGGAGCTGGTTTCCCCATTTTCCTCCAACTTGGTCATCTGTCACAGCAACTAGTCATCAAAAGCATAAATCAGATGTCACTCTTGCACAAAATTCTCTAATGGCTTCTCATGACAGACAGAAAAAGGACTATAAAGTTCCATCTTACTTAGTCCTTACTAACCACTCTGATCTCATCTGCCACCACTCCTTTCCCTATGCTCCAGCCCCACTGGTCGTCTTAGTTTAATAGGTCAAGTTCATTCCTCTCTTAAGGTCTTCGCATTTGCAGTTACTGCTCTCTTAAAAGCTCTTCCCTCAGATTCTCTTCATCACTTAGGTCTCTTGGCAAAACATCAACTCCTCAGGAGTTGTAAATACATTACAGAATTACCATAAGGTAATGAAACTGGCATTCTCCATTTGAAATAAACATACATATTTTTTGGAATGGTAAATAGTTATCAGATAAACCTCATACTTAAGGAAAAAAATGGATAGCCATTTAAAAATTAAATGTGAACTAAAAATCATCACTGGCAATAAACACTTAATAAATATCCTTGATGACAGAGACCATAGCTGGTTCCTTGCCACTGTGTCTCCAGAATGAATGAAATCCACCGTGAACTGTGATGTTTCCACATCATGAATTGTACTAAAATGATAACGTAAATGAGATCAGGGAGTCATTTTCGTCTACTTAACAGAAAAGGAAACAACTATTTGGATATCAAAAAGCCAATCTGGCAGTTTGAAAATGAAGTTTTAAAACTCTAAAGGATTTTGGACGTTTTTCTACACCGAAGGCGAGGTGGAGTAGAAATGCTCGCGCTAATGACACGAACTCCAGTAACATGTTCCTAAAGAAGTTTTAGTTCCATACGAGAAACTCACTGGCCACTGTAGTTGACACTAGATAACCTCTTTTCAGACAACACTAGGAGATAGAAGCACGACAACTCCAAACCATCAAGTCGGGAAGAGATCGCCCGACAAGCTGCCCAGAAGGTAAACTTGCGGGGTGCTGAAGCTGGAAAGAGCGAGGGCCCTCCCCCGTGAGTAGGGACGGACTCCAAGAAAAGGACGAATCTGAGCGCACACGGAGAAAGCAAAAAGGAAAAGCGACAGGGCTGCCATGCTCCTAACTCCACCCTCCCCGCGCTCAGCCCAAAGAAGGCCCAGGCTCGCCGGCCGCCGCCCCTCCCTCAGCCCTTTTCCAAGCCCACCGAGCGGCGCCAGGAAAGGTCCCGCCGCCCTCTTCTCCCCTCCCCCAAACCAGCAGCCGAGGAGGCCCGGCGAGGTTAAGAGCTTCCGTTCCTTCCCCGCCCAAATGGGAAGGGGTGGGAAGAGGGACTGCGAGCGCGCCCAGTACGAGCCTCCCTCGGCTTTCACGCGGACCAGGAGCTCCGTCCCCACCCCAGCCCGAGACTCACTCGTCAGCCCCGCAGCCACCGCACCGGGTGCCCGCGCAGCGCCACAGCCCCTATTCCAGGGCCACCCCCCCACCCCAGCTGCCTGCCGCCGTGGGTTCCGGGGCAGTTGGAGGAATCACTTCCGCCGGGTCACAGACGCTTTTTACAACGCGCGGGAGATAGTACCTGATGAGGCGGGGACTCCCGGAGTCTGTCGCCCGCTTCCGTCTACAGGAAGTGCGCAGTGCCGCCCTCCCTCCTCCCGGAGCACCACAGGCCAGCCTGGGAGGATCGCGGTCACTGGCAAATCTCGACCAATCCGATTCTGGGCTTTCTGATTCCCAGCATGCAGCACCTACCCTCATCCGATTCCCGCAGGCAGAGCAGCCTCAAAGACGAGCTTGGTGGGGCGCGGGGTGGGGGGGTGGGGGGGTGGGGGGGTGGGGGGGGGCGGCGTCGAAGGCAGCCGTGCATCCTGGGATTTGTAGTTTCTCTGGAGTACTGTGGGTATTTGGCCAAGGCAGCACTGCATCCTGGAACTTGTAGTTTCTCACGCCATGTGTTAAGATTTTGGTACTTTTAGAGGTTGTGCCTGCCTCTCGTTTAGGGGTACCCCGCGAGGTCGGAGACTATCCGCAGACGAAAGATTGAAAAGTGGGGGTGGTATTTCTACGCTAACAAGATCGTGCTTTTTATGAAGCAGCATCTGTCTCTTGTGAAAATTTGCAGTGCTTGTTGAAGAGCATCTCAACTGCTCGTGCAATCGGCTTTCCTCATTTCCTCTCTTGCCGGTACGGTTCAGTGTTTACTGAAAACTAACCACGCCCCACCCCACCCCCACCCCCACCCCCACCCTTCCCCTGGGGCCTTTCCTCCTCCTCCACCCCCCAACCCCCACCCCCTCCCCCCTCCCAGCCCCAGGGTTGCTCAGCTCTTTTCGATTCCGTCATCTTTCACGGAAATTCCAGGTGTCTGCCGCCAGTACTCAATTCTGAGACGATCTTTGTCACTCCACTTCCCCTCTGTCCCCATACCCTTCTCTAGCTCTCTTGCTCTGTTTCTCCACCCGCCTATCCTTTTCACTTGCTTTCCTGTGGTTAAATTCAGGCACCCTTCCAGGAACGCTGAAACAGCTAAATAAAGTTCACCCTTTGTTTACGGGACTGTGGAACGAAGGGAATTTAGGGCCCAGACTCTCACCGTTGCAAGTTGCTCAACTAGGCACTGTTGTGTAACTACGTCCACAAAGAGAAAACAGATAGAGGCGATGCAAAGTTTGTTGACCTAATTAATGACTTGCCTGAAAGACATTTTCAGTTGATTTGGCAGAGAAAAGGTATTGCTTTTTACGGACAGAGCGTCCTGTGCTAATTTTTCAAAGCCTTTGCAAAAATTATGGAAGTGTTTTGGTTGTAATGGTAGCTCAGAATAGACTTTGGAGGAGAGGCATTGGGGTGAGAAGAGGCAGCTGTGGGCCCATTTTCGATCTTACCTTTCCTCCTTTACTTGAGAAATGTTGTTTTCTCCCCTTCTGCTTCCCCTTTTCCTCATGGCATTGTCACTCTAAAGGATCACTATGTTAGTTACCTAGAGAATGATTAGAATTTTCCAGAGGAGGATACTGAGACCAGCTAATGCCAGATTTAGGGGTAGAATCCTAGGAGTACTTTTTTTTTCTTTTGGGCAAAATTTTACTTTACTTTTAAAATTTTAATTATCTAATCAACATAATACATGCTTATTATAAAAAACACAGAAATTGTAGATACTTTTTTCCATCCACTTTTACATAGATCATACTGTATATATATCGTTCTGTATTCTGTTTACTTTCCAACTTAACAAACCTCAATAACCAAAACCTTTGTAGCCAAAATCTCAACAAGCATCATTTTTAATGTCTGTATAGAATTACTTGCATAAATGTCGCTTACCTATTTCCTTAATGTTTGACATTTACCTTATTTTCATTTTTAAATCATTTTAGGTAATGCTGTGTTCAGTATCGCTGCAGAAATCTTTGACCATGTTTCTGATTATTTCTTGAGAATATGAATATTTTAAAAGATCTTGATTATCTGTTGACAAATTCTTTTCTGAGAAGATTCTTCCAGTATATGCTCTAAACCAGTAATGTATAAAGAAACATTTAGGGTTCTTATCAACTTACTAGCTTTACCAAAATTTTTCTTTTCTTTTATCCATCATGCCATTCAGCCGTTAAGCTCACCTTAAAGGAGGGAAAAGGGGGCTGGTGGATGGTGAGGAAAGACAGCTAAAAACCAAACAAAAATTACATATAATGGTGGCCATATATTCTACAGGTGATCTCCATTTTCACTTTTTCCATCAGCCTCCATCCTTAAAGGCAGCCTCTCAGATGATGTGAATGGGGAATCAAGGCTTATTTTTGAAACAGCCTTTGTATCATTCTAAAACCCCCTCTAAGTGGTTTATCTCCAACAAATGTCTATGAATTACTAGAATTGGGAAATCTATTTAACCATCAATAACAATTCCATGTAATTCTATAGCATAGAGTTTTCAGAATATGATCTCATTTTAGCTGTTGAGAAACCTTGAGAAGTAGACCAAATGTTATTTTTATTTGCTTACAGTATCTGTAGGGAGAAACTAAGCTTAACAGAAGATAAAAGTTCAGGTTCTCTCAGCATATCGTTGAAGTACTCAAAATCAAACAAGGAGGACATTACACTGAGATGACTCTGATGTCTTCCTAGCCTCTTAAGCAAACTAAAAACTAAGCCAGAGTCAATTCCTATAAATGCCACAAGAATAAGAAGGACAACTAATTACAAACAGCCAAACGAGGTTTTCCCAAATAATGCAACTGCTTAAGCTGTAGCCAATCAAGTAATTTCCTTGCTTTGCAGTGTGCATATTCTCTATAAAAACCCTGCCCCTTGCTCCTGTCAGTGGAGCCCCTGTAATCACTTCCAGTTTGGTGCTGCCCGATTTGAATAAATTTTTATTTAAATAAGCTCAAAACTTTTATTATGCCTCAGTGTATCTTTTGAACAATATTAAAGAAAAACACTCTTTAGGCGAACAGAAACATTTAAATATGTATCAGTAAAATAACAGATGTCAGTAGTATGAATTACACTAAACAAGAGTTTTTAAAATGTGAATGAGAGATAACTTTAAGAAAATGAAGTTATTCATAAAAAAGTAGTGTAATTTTATCCTTCTGGATATCCAGAAAAAAAATAGACAGGATTTGGAGTTGTCAAGGTGATATTATTTTAGACTATCAGTTTGTTCCTCTTCTAGGCAAATAAGATGTTGAGTCAAAAACAGTTCTGAAATAGTAAACAAAAATGTGTCTCTACTAGTTGGATGCTCACCCTTCAAGATTCAGGTGAGCCTGAAGCCTTTAGACATTACTAGCCTAATTAATTGTCTTTTGGGCTTCGGTAGCATTTTGTAAATTGGCATATTTCAATTACATTACAGGATTATCTGTTAGCTTACTCTTAGGTGTTTCCTGCGCTACTTGAGCACGGTGAATCCCAGTTTTATCCAGCATCTCTGTATCCTCTGCGCCTAACTTGGTCCTGGCAATAGGCGCTGAATACCTCACCAAATCATGAACAGGATGTGTACATGGATGTGAATGATTCCCGAAGACAAATTTGACAAGTATCAGCATTACACAAATGAGTTCCATTTATTTTCTACCAGCCCCAATGGTTGGATTCAACTACTATTCATTTTTGTCCAAGTCGTATCAAGTATTATGCCTCTGTGTCCATAGGCAAGAATCACTTTCTGCAAAGAAAACAGTTTTGGGGGACTAGAAAATGACGCCCAGAAGAAAGAAAGATTTCACCCTGGCTTCCAGGCTTTGGCCTTCGTGCATGGCTCTCCCCTCTGTCCTTGCACACTGTCATAAAGAGCGCCGAACTCCAGATAGGGGAGGCCGAGCGCATACCGTGCGTCTGCGGACCGCCCCAGCGATGCGCGGCGGCAGAGCCCAGCCCGCAGGGAACGCGCACGGAGGAGGGGGCGGCGGGCCGCGTATTCTGCGCACGCGCGGCCGCCCAAGCCAGCCGGCGGGCCTTGAGGGGGCGGGGCGTGCGTGGCTGCTGCAGGCCACGGGGCCGGTGCGGAGCCGGGCCTCGCGTGTCCCCGTCCTCACCGCCCGTCCTCTCGCGCGAGATGCTGCTTCTGGCGTTGGGCGGCCCGCGGGCGGCCGGACTGCGGCTCGGCGGGCAGAGGACAGCGTCGTGGGCGCGCGCCGCGCTCCGGGGCCCCGGGGCGGCCGTCTCGCGGGCGGCCTCCCGCAGCGGCTCGGCGGGGCCGCGGGGAGCCGCGCCGCTGCTCCGGCGTCGCGTGCCAGCGCAGGTCGGCCGTGCGAGGGCTCGAGGGCCGGAGCGAGGGCGGGGGTGGGCGGAGCGTCGGCCCGGGGCCCCCGCGCTCGCGGCCCGCGCCTTCCCCGCCGCCGAGGGTGCCCCGTGGCAGGGGCGCTCTTTCCGCGGGGCCGCGGGGGTGGCGGGCCTCGGCCTCGGGACCAGGCCCCGCGAGGCCGGGAGGAGCCGTTGCAAAGTAGCTATTTTTATGGGCGGTTCCAAGCACTTTACAGGTGGTTGCAAATCCTGCGGGTTTGTGATGACTTTTTTCTTTTCTGCCTTTGAGCGGAAGCTCAGAAGGGTTAATTTGCAAAGAAATTAGGTGCACCACCTGGAGGCGGAACTGAGCGCACCCGGATAACCTGACTCTGAGTTTGTTCTATTTTTTTATTACGTGGCTCTATTTTAGGAATTCTTTTCCTCCCTGGAGAAAGGGGATGGAGACATTAATCCTCTCATTTTAATCTGAATAAATTGTCGCCTAATCGTCCCGTGTAAGATATCAGGGTCAGCAAATCTGGCTGAGACTTGGAAGAAATACCAAAAGTGCGAATTGGAATCTAATTAAATTTCAGCATCCAGGAATTAGGCGTGCCTGTTTTACATTTCGAAGTGTGGCTACTGTGAAATTCATTTTCTAGGCGTTCGGGGAACTCTTGTTCCCGTGAAATTTGATGTAAAATTAAAAGTAAATTTTTTTCCTTATTAAGAGGACCCAGAGATGCAAGGGGCTGGATATAAGGCCTTTAGGGAAAGAGTTTTTTGTTTGTTTGTTTGTTTGTTTTAATACTAAGTATAGTATAAATATTTTAGAAGTGTTAAGAATGGTCTGGACTTTAAGCAAACAATTTGAATTTACAGTATTTTGCTTACATTAGGGTATTCAAGTTAATTTTGTTTATGTTTTGAAAAGCTTACCCATTTAAATCTTTAAGACAATCCAACTACGGTGATATTTTCATTAAGAATGGAATAGAAACCATTCCACTAAACTTTGACTTGTTCGAGGTCACACTTTATCTGAATAGCTTCCAGGTGGGATGCAAATCTATGCCTTCAGACTCCAACTCAGCCTGTTTCTACTTGTGACAGGAATTAAGGAAAGCAGTTCTGTTAGTTTGATTTCTTTAGCTCTGCAGATTATTTGGGAGCATTCCTTAAATCACCTGTGACAAAGTTCTCTTTTACTCTTCATTATATTCTTTTTTTTTTTTAAAGATTTTATTTTTTTCCTTTTTCTCCCCAATGCCCCCCGGTACATAGTTGTATATTCTTCGTTGTGGGTCCTTCTAGTTGTGGCATGTGGGACGCTGCCTCAGCGTGGTCTGATGAGCAGTGCCATGTCCGCGCCCAGGATTCGAACTAACGAAACACTGGGCCGCCTGCAGCGGAGCGCGCGAACTTAACCACTCGGCCACGGGGCCAGCCCCTTCATTATATTCTTTTTAAAGATTGGCACCTGAGCTAACAAGTGTTGCCAGTCTTTCTGTTTTTTTTTTTTTTTCTGCTGTATCTCCCCAAATCCCCCTGGTACATAGTTGTATATCTTAGTCGCATGTCCTTCTAGTGTCATGTGGGACACCGCCTCAATGTGGCCTGATGAGCAGTGCCATGTCTGTGCCCAGGATCCGAACCCGCGAAACCCTGGGCCGCCGCAGCGGAGCGCACAAACTTAACCGCTTGGCCATGGGGCCGGCCCCTCTTCATTATATTTTTAAAAATAAACTTAAAAAAATTTAAAAGTTGGTCTAAACTGCAGTTTATTATGTACTCACATTGTAATGGTCTCTGTTTCAATAGATACCTGTTTGTTGGGAAAGATGTGTTCGATGCTTACATACACAACTTGAAAAATCAGAAGATGGAAGGCTGATTTATACTGGGAATCTGGCCCGAACAGTATTTGGTGGGTAATCAGAAGTGAGGATATTTCCTTTAACTGTAAAAAATGTTCTTAGCGTATGTTACCTCTTATTTTAGTAACTGTTAATTACAATACATAAGGAAAATTAGATTAAATTTTTTCTTGTGGCCTGTTGATCTAAGATTTAGAGGTTGAGACCTTTGCATTTTTAGGAGATTTTTAAAAAGATTTTTGAAGACTGTATTATGATTTTGTGATCTTACGGCTTGGTGCTAAAGCTTCCATCCTTTAGTCACCTCTCAGGATGTTTAACAAAAAAGAACAGAAAGTGTATATTTGTGTAATATTTGAATACGCAGAGAAAAAATATGGAAGAATACCTCTTAAGACTAGTTTTTTGGGGGGAGTAGACATTTACTTCATGTATTTTTAAATTTGGCAGGTAAAATGAGCGTGTAATACTTTTATAATTCAAAAATATATCAATGTTGTGTTTTTTCAGGCCGTCTTAGAATTTTCAACAAATGTGTTTATTTAGTGCTTTTTCCAGGTGGTAGAGCGTTGTCATGGAGAAGGAAAAGATAGTGTATTAAATAGCAACAAGTTTAAAACTCTTTCCTTATATCACAATTTAGATCATAGGGAACAATCTAGCAGGGAAGGTGAGAAGAACTTAGGTATGGGATTTGTTCAAGTTCCCTGAGGTTGTATTTTATTTTAGTAATCTTAAAGTGTAACCTGAAATATCTGGAGGATTACTTTATAGCCAACTTGGCCACAAGATTTCCACACTCACATTTGCGTTTGTGCTTTTGATGATGCTGGCGTCAGCAGATCACCTAAAATTTACTCTGGAAATCTGTAAGTTCTCAAGAGTGTGTTTAACGTACAATTTTAGCTGTTTAAAACTTTTTGGGAATAAGGACTGATTATAATCACTGTTGAGTGGAGTTCTAAAGTTATCGGAATAATCAATTTGGGGTGGTTAGAAATGTCTTTAGGAGTCAATACATGAGGAGACCATTGAACCTGTGCCACGTCTCTGGCCTGAGATACGTGGATTGATGCCACCGAGATGTTAACAGGGACCCCTACGGTACCCTTCCTTCTGAACACAGACACTGTTCCTTCCACTGCAGGGAAGGCTTATCAGTTTATTTCATGTTCCCACTTGACTTCATTCTGGAAAGAGGAGACTATAAATAGGAATTAATTTTGGTGTGGGTAGGATGTAGTGTTTGTGGAAGAACCTAGCTATCCGTGGTGTTCAAAGTTCTAGAATTCTAACTTGTAGAGGAATTTAATGTTTGAGTTCTTTCAATGTTATGATAATAGAAAGTCACTCGATATACTTATCAGGGATAAATATTTTTTCTATGTAGAAACTGAGAGAGAAACATTTTTCTGTGGAAAAGTGAAGGAGGCACTTTACGGTAGGGTTACCTTTCTTGAGGTCTTTTAAATTACCAAATGAGTCCTAGTGTGAAGACATCTGAAGGGCCTTTTAGTGGACAGTCCTTAATTCAGCAATGAATCATTACCGATGTCATGGTATTTGCTTTGCATTGTATCAGGGGCTTTGTGTGAGGGATGTTACTCAAAGATAACGTAGGTCATGTCCTCCAGGATTGTAGTGTCTGGTAGGAAAGATAAGATGAATACATCCTCATAATCAGTAACATAATAATAGAGAATAGATTTGAGTTCAGAAGGCAGATAGATAATTTTTAGATTAGAGAACAGAAAGCGTCTTGTCAGGCTGGCTTTTCAGCTGGGTCTTTTAGGATGAATAGAATTCCAACATGGAGAGGGGTCAAAGAAGGGCATCCCAGGCACGGAAGTAGCCTGAAGATGGGAAAGCCTGAAATATGTTCAGAAAATAATTACTTCAGGCAAAATAAAGTATACGTGTGTGTTAATTCCCTAGACCTCTTGTAATAAATTTCCTCAGACTGAGTGGCTTAAAACCACGGAAATTTTCTCTCTCACCCTTCTGAGGGCTGGACGTCTGAACTCAAGGTGTCGGCAGGGCCGTGCTCTCTCAGGGCTCTAGGGCAGAATTCTTCTTGCCTCGTCCAGCTTCCGGTAGCTCCGGGCAGGCCTCTGTGATCCTTGGCTTGTAGCTGCGTAACTCCAGTCTCTGCCTCCCTCTTCACCGGGCCTTCTCTGTGTCTCTGTCCTTTTCTGTCCTTATAAGGACACTCTCATTGGATTTAGGCCCACCCTAATCCGGTAAGATCTCATCTCAATTTTTAATTGTCTCCGAAGACCCTATTTCCAAATAAGGTCACATTCTAAGGTTCTGAGTGGATGTGAATTTTTGAGGGACACCATTCAACCCACTGCAGTGTGACAAAAGTAATGGGGAGAGAAGAGGTAGTTGGGAGGGCTGAGGAGGTTTTTTATACAGGAGGCAACTTGGTCCCCACTGTATCCCATGAGTTCCATTGTCATAGCAACTACCTGTGGGAGGAAGGAAGGAATTATTTTTAAATTACTGATGCAAGTTAAGTAAGCCTTCAACCAACGGCAGTGTATGAGAGTGTCTGCTTTGTTACAGCCTCACCAACAGAGTATGTTGTCAGACTTTTGGTTTTTGCCAATTTGGGGAAAAAACAATATCTCACTGTAGTTTTAATTGCATGTTTTTTATTGTGAATGAGGTTTAGCATCATCTCATCTATTTAAGGGCCATGTGCATTTTTGTTCCAATAAACTGCTTATATTTCTTGCATGTTTGTGTATAGGGTTGTTGGTCTTTTTCTTTCTTATTCTAGAAACCTTTTATGTATTGGGGATATTAACCCTTTATGATATAAATTGCAAATATTTTTCTCTAGATTTTTACTTTGTGATGTAAGTTGCACAGATTTTTCTAATTTGTCTGTTTACTTTGTTTATGGTGTTTATGCCCATGTACATTTTTAATGTAATCAGATTTATCAGTCTTTCACCTGGTTGCCCCTGTATTTTGAGTCATTGGAAAAGTTTTTCCATTCTCAGATTATAAAGGACTTCATGGATGTTCTCTTCTTATACCTCTATGGTTTTCTTTTTTTTTTTAAAGTTTTTTTTCCGTGCTTTTTCTCCTCAAATCCCCCCTGTACATAGTTGTGTATTTTAGTTGTGGGTCCTTCAGGTTGTGGCATGTGAGATGCCGCCTCAACATGGCCCCATGAGCGGTGCCTTGTCTGCTCCCAGGATCTAAACTGGCGAAACCCTGGGCCGCAAGTGCGGGAACTTAACCACTCGGCCACCCGGCGGCCCTAAAGTTTTCTTTTTTACATTTAAATCTCTGGATAATTTGAAATTTTCCTAGTATATGTATGAGAGATGAATTTTATCTTTTTCTATATTGCTATCCAGTTGTTCCAACACCACTTTTACCCATTTATTTTAGATTATATCTTTATGCTATACTACACGTCCATATGCAATTAGGTTTATTTCTAAACTTCCCTTTTTGTTCCTTCCATCTATCTGTGTGCCAGTACCACACTGTTTTAATTATAGAGTCACCTGTTTAATATCTAGCTCCCCCTTGTTGTTTTGCTGCTTTTAGTTTTCCAACTTAACTTTACAGTCAACTTGTCTGGGATCTCAACATGTTTATTTTCCTAACAGATAGTATTTTTATTGGGGTCATGTTAAAATTATACATTGAAACTAAGAGAAATTTATATTTTGTCATTTATTTATTTTTTTTATTGTGGTAAAATATATATAACGTATGTAACATAAAATTTACCATTTTAGCCATTTTAAAGTATACAGTTCAGAAGTTACTGATTTTTAATCTTTCTAATGAGATACATGAAAAGATCTCACTGTTTTAATTTGAATGTCTTTCCTTGGTAAAGAAGTTGAATACCTTTCTCATATGTTTTAATCCGGGGCACATAGCCTGATAAAGTTAGCCCCATATCTGAACATTTTCTGTTAGATTTGTGGAAGTGCTTGTTAGTAGAGAGTTTTATTTGATAATCTGCTGACTGAATCAACGTTTACGGTGTTCATAAGGATCTTTGAGTAGTAGTAAATCTTTTATTGGGAGACTGAGGTAGAAGCTAGTTAACCCTAAGGCAGGTTTCCCACCCAGAGAGGCACTGCAGTGTACTGGCCAACGGCGTGGACCGCAGACGCAAGTTCCCTGGGTTTGAATCCCAGCGCTGCCACTTGGTAGCTGTGTGACGAGAGCAAGTGCCTCATTTTTCTCATCTCTTAAATGGAGGAAGTGATGAGTTATGCACCTATCTCATAGGGCCTTTTTGTAGATTTCATGAATAAAATATGTAAAGTGCTTAAAACAGAGCCTGAAGTGTAGCAAACACTATATATGTGTTTTGGTTTTATTGTTGTTTTGATGACAATATAGTAAGAAGAAAGGTGGGAGAATTAATTGGATAGGTTGATTCTTGTATAAAATTGAAAAATATTAATACTCTTCCATTTTTTTTCCTATTTAGGTGTGAAATGTTTCTCTTATTCTACAAGTTTGATCAGCCTTGCGTTTCTACCATATATTTTTGCACAAAATAATATTATATTTGGAAGTCTGCCTTTGCAAATCTTATTTTATGGCATCATAGGAAGTTTCACAGTGATCACTCCAGTCCTGCTTCACTTTATCACAAAAGGCTACGTTGTTCGGTTGTACCACGAGGCCACAACAGACACTTATAAAGCCATTACTTATAATGTTGTGCTGTCAGAAACGAGTACAGTGTTTCACCAGAATGATGTGAAGATTCCAGACAGCACACATGTGTTTACCACGTTTTATGCTAAAACAAAATCCCTGCTGGTTAATCCAGTGCTGTTTGCAAACCCCGAAGACTATAACCATCTAATGGGTTATGACAAACCGTTCACTTTTGACATGGAAGAAGCCGGTGAAAAGAAACAGCTTCAAGATGAGAAATGAGTCTGCTGTTTTTATGTTTGTGCTTAAATGCAATTTATGTTTCAATATATAATAATAAAATTGCCTTTACTTTTGTTTTCTGTCAGTGACTGTTAAAAGTAATTTGAAACAGTGTCAAACAGAACTTTTAACTTTCAGAGAATTATGTTTCTTTATAATAAAATAAGCTATGTTTGAAAAACAAAACATGTAATATTCTACTATTTGTGTTAAACAAAGAAAAGTGTGAACATCCCTGTACGTGCTGGCATACACATGGATGATTTTATGTAAGCTGGGGATTGGATCTTAGAAGCAAACGGGAGAGTTGTTTTTCCTTTGTGTTTGGATTTTTCTAAGTGTATGGGTGTTTAGATAGTATCCTTTTTTCTTCTTCTTCCAAAAGCCCACCAGTACATTGTTGTATATTCCAGTTGTAGGTCCTTCTGGTTTTGCTATGCGGGACTCCGCCTCAGCATGGTCTGATGAGCTGTGCCAGGTCCATGCCCAGGATCCAAACCGGGCAAACCCTGGGCCACCAAAGCAGAGCACAAGAACTTAAGTACTTGGCCATGGAGCCGGCCCTGATATTTTTTCCCACATTATAAACTCTGTTTTTAAAACACAAACTATGGGAAGCAGTGTTAATTTGTCTCCTTTGGTTTGGAATACAGGTTTTTGCCTGTCGTCTCTGACATGCTCGCCTGAAATAGGGAACTCCCTGGCTGGTAGAGTGTGGTTAGCTGTAGGGGAGATGGTGACCTAAGTAGTGTTCTGAGCACGGGATCTGAACCCAGGCTGCCGAAGTGGAGTGCACTGGACTTAACCGCCACGCCACCAGGCCAGTGCCTAAGTGGTGGTGTCTTTAGTGCTCTCGTTTGTCCTTCCGCGTGCGCAGTCCTCCCCTGGTGCACCCTATCAGAGTAGGAAAATCATTTGTACTAAAAAGATGGACAGTACCTTTTATAAGATAGCAATCTCAATGCTTAACTTTATTGTGTTGACATTTTAAGATTTTTACCTCTAATTGTAAAATGAAAGTTGGTTCTTGTGAAAGATTTTCAGCCAGACGCCAAAGGCCTCCAGTCGTGCTGTTTAGATCAAGAGATACTTGCTAGGTGCCTGGAGTGAGCCTAAAGGCATTGAGTCAGTTTCTCTTGAGTCTCAAAAGATAGGGAGATCCCTGCTGATATCTGGATTGTCAGATAATAGACCTTTTCACAATTAAATGTACTGTGTTGTAATCCTCTTTCTCAATGTGGTTTTCATCATACTGAAAGAGTTCCGCTTTCAGAAGCAGAAGTAACCAGATGGTCATTAGGTATGGATAATAGCCTTAGCTCGGACACATTTGTTAAAATTGTATTCTTATTTTTTCAGAATACTTTATACTTTTGTTGTTCTCTTTTCATTGAGAATTTCAAACATTCAGAAGTAGGAGAGTGTACAAATTTGACTGTCATCCAGATTCAACAATTACTAATTTGTGATCAATATTGTTTTCTGTAGACCCCAACCACTTACCCTCTACTTTTATTTGGAAGCAAATCCCAGACATCATAACATTTCTTTCTTGAATATTTAATTTTGTAACTCTATAAGATAAAGACTTAAAAAATTTAACTATAATACCATTGTAACAACTAAACTTCCCCCCTCGATCTTGTCGAATATCTAATCTTCAAATTTCCAATTGTTTCATAATTTTTTCCCCCACGTTTTGTTTAGATTAAGATCCAAGTAAAAGTCACACCATATTCACACCAACTGTTGAAGTGTCTCTTAAGACTTCTAATCTATGGGCCCCTCCATTTCTTTCACATTTTTTTTACCCCTGCAAATTATCTGTTGAAGAAACTGAGTTGCTTGTCTTCATATCTTCGTCGTCTGAATTTTCTGATTGTATGCTCAAGGTGTAGTTTAACATGTATCTCTGTCTTCTGCCTTTCCTATAAATTGGTAGTTGGACTTGAGGCTTCATCAGATTGAGGTGTGATTATTTTGGACAAGACTAATTCATAGATGATGTTTGTATTAATTGTCTATTGTTGCGTGACAAATTGCGCGTAAAACTTGGAGGCTTAAAACGACAAACATCTCTAGTGTTGCACAGTGTCTGCTGTTTAGGAATTCAGGAGTAGCTTAGCTGAGTGGTTCTGGCTCAGGTCCTCTCATGAGGTGGCGGTCAAGACATCGGCTGGTGCGGTTACGTCTGAAGGCTAGTCCAGGCCAGGAGGAACTCCTTCCAAGATGGCTCACCCACAGGACTGAAATTGGTGCTAACTGTTTGGCATGCGGCCTCCGTTTTTCACCGCGTGGATTTCTCCTTAGGGCTACATGCCTCTGCCAGAGCAATCGATCCAGGAGAGAAAGGTGGAAGCCATAGGTCTTTTATGATCTGACCTTGGAAGTCGCACATTGTCATTCTGCAATGTTTTATTAGTTACACAGCTAGCCTTATTCAGTGTTGGAGGGGACTGCACAAGGATTTGCGTACCAGGAAGTAAGGATCATTGGGAACTATCTTGGAGGCTGGCTACCACAGTGTTCATCCATCAAGAGGTACACAATGTCTTCCTGTGTCTCTTCGTGATGTTAGCAACCACTGATGCTCAATGCCTAAGTCCACTCATCTGTTAGATATTGCAAAATGGTTGTACTCTATTATTCCTTTCTCGTATACTAGCTAAAATACTTCTGAAAGTAGAGAAAAGAGTATGAGATGGCAAGGGAAACTTGCCCCTCTATTATTTGGTTACCAATCGTTTGGTTTTTACAGGAAAGTCAGGATAAATGTTTGATTCTTTCCCTTTGTTTACCAGTTTTCAAAATAGAGTTGGTTTCCCAGCATCATCTGATGATTAATTAGACTTTAAAAGAATTATTACGAGCTCATGGATTTAAATATCTTTGATGTATTTCAATTAATTGCGGTTACTATCTTATTAATGTTCATATAATCTACAGGTAGGCTGAATAATGGCCCCCCAAGATGTTCATGTCCTGATCACCAGAAGCTGTGAAGATGACGTTGTATGATAAAAGCGATTTTGTAGATGGATCTTGAGTTGGGGAGATTATTCAAATGATTCCAGTATAATCACAGGGGTCCTTATAAGAGGGAGGCAGGAGGTCAGAGGAGAAGTTATTGTGAGGATGGAAGCAGAGATGGGAGTGCTGACCTTTGAAGATGGAGGAATGCAAGGATTGCAGCTCCTGAAGCTGAGAAAGGCAAGGAACAGATTCTTCCCCTAGATCTCTAGAAGGAACCACCTCTGCCAACACCTTGACTTTAGCCCGGTAAAAATGATTTTAGACTTCTGACCTCCAGAACTGTAAGAGAATATATATGTATTGCTTTCAGCCTCTGAGTTTGTGGTTATTTGTTACAGCAGCAGTAGGAAACTGATAACACCATCTTTGGTCAGTGGGACCGTATTCAAATTGGTTATCTAATGTGATAAGATGTTCCAGGTTCACCTTGTATATTTTCTGCCCCAGACCTGGAAGCAGCAGTTTCTCCAAAGAGTCTTGGTTCCTTTAAGTGGGAAATGATATTTTGAGACCACTAGGGGCATTCATGGGTTTTTCCTCTTTTTTTTTTTTTCACTTTTTAAATATTTTTTAAATTGTGAAAAACATATAAAATTTACTATCTTAATCAATTTTAAATGTACAGGTCAGTAGTGCTAACTGTATCTACATTATGGTACAATAGATCTCTAGAACTTTTTCATCTTGCAAACCTGAAACTCATACCCATTGAACACCAACTGCCCATTTCCCCATCCCCCCATGGACTTTTGCCTTTTTGAAAATGGGAAAGTAGCACAGTTCTTTCGTGAAAACCGTTTACCAACATATGATTATTTTCCTCTAAAAGTGTAGATTTTTAGGTCCTGACTCCATGCCATTTTTGGTTACCAATCCCAGACTATATCTTTTTGTATGTATGAGGAAGATTGGCCCTAGGCTAGCATCTGTTGCCAATCTTCCTCTTTTTTTTTTTCTCTGCAAAGCCCCAGTACATAGTCGTATATCCCAGTTGTAGGCCATTCTAATTCTTCTATGTGGGAGCTGCCACCGCATGGCTTGATGAGTGGTGCTAGGTCCTCACACAGGATCTGGACCTGCGAAACCCCTGGCTTCTGAAGCAGAGCGGGTCAACTGAACTACTTGGTCACAGGGCCCGCCCCTCCCCCCAGCCCCCGACTATATCTTATAAAGGATTTCAAGTAGCACAGCACCTAAAGGATTAGCTGTTTTTCTAAAATGGACTGAGAGTTTTGAAATGAAGTACATGCCACACATGAAATAGTAACAATTTCATTATTAGGGCTCAAAATATCCCTGGAGCTGTAGTTTGCCAAGTAAGTGTGTTCGCAAGCCTGGCACGACCTCTGCCCACAAAGCAGAACTGCCACTAGTGTCCCGTGTCCTGGCTCCACCCGGTGGCTGACCCTGTTGCTGAGTAGAAATAGTTTGCATACAACTGTTCAGTTCAGATCTATGGGTCCAGGTCTCCGGGCCATGAGAAAGTGTTGTGTAAAGAGCTCGTGGGAGAGAATAGCAATGCAGATGGAAAAAGAGTGCCAGTCTGTTGAGATTCTGAAGGAAACTTTCTGTTGACTGGGAAGTATCTTGTTTTGTTTTTAAAACTCCGGTCACTCTCACGAGCATCGAGTGTTTGAAAAGAGTACGTTCTAAATCGTTTTCCTCTCTCCCCTTGCAGGAAGTGCAACCTATTAAACACACACACACACACAGACAAAAGAGGAAACAGTTGGATAGGAACTCAGAAATCATGTGACTGATGACTAAGTTAAACCTTTTCTACTTACTGAGAGCCAAGTCTGATCATTAGTTATTGATGCTCCTTGCATTTTTAAAGTTTTGGAGATATCGAATCATGTTCTCATTTATGCTTTTTTTCACTCTGTTTTCTTCCATATTTCCTGAACCTGAGGAGCTACGCTGGATTTGCAACTCCTCTGATATGAGTATTTGGTACACCTACTGTGGTAAGTAAAATGGCAACAGCAAGTAGTCGTGCGTCAGCTATTTCAAGGGTGAGTTTTCACAAGAACCTTATTCTGCTGTCGCTGGGACACAGGAAATGACAAAGTGTTCCAGTTGCTGCTGCTGCTGGCTGTAAAAATGATGGCTGGTTACCGCCTTGTGTGGATTTTCTCCGCCTTTCACAGACCTCACGAGTCTCCGATCTGTGTTGTACTTGACCTCCAAGTGCTTCTGCTGTTCCCTGTGGTCAGTTGTTTCTACCTTGAGCCCAGTTTCAGTTTCTGCCCGGTTTCGGCAGAAATGTCTGCTTCTGGGCTTTTGCCTCAGCCCCAGGACATACCGGTTCTTCTTAAGAAGGCAAAACAGTCCTAGCTGCCTCCTGAAATTGATTAGTGCTCCGGGCTGTGGTTTGCCTGCCAGCACAGTGTTGGGCATAAAACAGGTGCTCTGTGAGTGTTTCAGGCTGTGAATTTCAAGGGCTCTTGGAATCACCTCCCTAATTAGATGTAAGCCTGGTTCTGTCTGTTACTAGCTGTGTGACCTGGAGCAAAGTGTTTAGCCTCTCTGTGCCCTAGCTTTTTTATTTGTAAAATGAAAGTGATTTTAGAGCTTGTTTTACAAGGAGTGCCGTGAGGTAAAGTTTTTAGCACAGAGCCGCGTAGAAACAATCATTTGGATTAATTTAATTTTTTTAATCAGCCAGTCCTAATGTTATCAACAGGTTGTATCACTGTTGGTTTTGCTCTTCAAATGTCCACTGGTCTGAAAGCACAGTTTCAGGGCTTGACCTCTGTTTTAGTTGGGTACTTTCCACTGCGTTGTTCACCATGGGTTGGCTGGCCTTTTCTACCCACCAGCAAAATCACGAAAATTTAAAGCAATGCTTCCCCAAATACTAGTTCTTTGAGATTCTCTTGGGAAAAAGCATCTGTAGTCCAATCCTTGGAGGAAGATTTACAAATGTACTTTGAGTTTTGAAAAGTTCTACAATAAAGAAACTTATTTAATCCTGAGATTTTCAGTTTTATTTTACTTTAGTTTTTGAGTGTGTGTTGACTATTCTGAGAAACACACTGGGGCAAATACTAATATAAAGTTACTTCTGGGGAATTAGAGTGATTGCCAGGTGCGAGAACAGGACTTAGGCATGTGCCCACTCTCACACTTGCGGCTTGCTTCCTATCTGTGGATGGTGCTGGATTCCCCCTCAACTTATTTCCGAGATATCTCCACCCTGTAAGATCAGTTTCCATCCCCCCTTCCGGGAAGACGCTTCATCCGCAGCCCCTAGTTGTCTCCTCTGCTTTGGCCCCTCTGCACCACATGTCGATTATGCTCCCTTCTCTGTGCTATGTTCCATATGGTCTTTATTTATTTCATATTTTATATTATTATTTTGCTTTTAATCTTTTAGGAACAGTAATTCAATTTGTGTTTTGATTTGACTTTTGAGGGAGAATCTTTCCTGTTTCTCTCTAATGCTGAGAAATCCTGGGATCCTGTCCCACGGATGTAGGGACCATGGGGAGCAAGCAGAGTGCACAGCTCCAGCAACACTGCCTGCCGCCATCCTCACTGCCCTGTCCCTCCCTCTCCCACCTGAGAGAAGGCAGCCTGGCCGAGCTGAAAATGCATCATGTGTGGGAAGCGCTGGCTCTTCCAGCGAGAATATACATTGTGAGGATGTTGGTGACAACAAGCAGCCTGGATTTATTTATTTTATTTTTTTCTGCGAGGATGATTTCCATTTGGCTGTGCTACTGGGTGTATATAGTGTATTAGTTTGCTGCCGTAATAAAACACCGCACACTGGGTGGCTTATAAGCAACAGAAATTTATCTGTCACAGCTCTGGAGGCTGGAAGGCCAAGATCAAGGATCAGCAGGTTTGGTTTCCTTCTGAGGCCTCCCTCCTGGGCTGGCAGATGGCTGCCTTCTTGCTGTGCCTTCATATGGCCTTTTCTCAGTGTGCGCTCATCCCTGGTGACCCTCTATGTGTCTGGATCTCCTCTTCTTAGAAGGACTCTGATCATATGGGGTTTGGGCCCACCCTAATGGCCTCTCTCTAACTCAATCTCCTCTTTAAAAGACTTGTCTCCAGATACAGTCATATTCTGAGGTCCTGGGGGTTAGGACTCCAACATGTAAATTTAGGTGGGACACAATTCAGCCCATAACATACAGAAATGGCAAAAACTGGCTGTTTTATTCGCCAACTTTGGAAAAGGCAGAAAACGTGGGTGTGCGAGTCAGTCCGCAGAGCTCGAGGCACACACCCTCCTGTAACCTAGAGCCATCAGACTCAGTTCTAACTTTTTTTTTTTTTGCTATAGACCAGAAACTCAAGGAATTAGTGGAGTATAATTAAACCAGTGTTCACTGAGCACCTGGCCTGTGCCTGTTCTGAACACTGAGGATCTCATCTAGCAGTGAACAACAAAGGCGAAATTCCCTCCCCGTGTGGAGTTTCTATCAGTAAAATATTGAGCGTGTCAGATGGTGGTAACTGCTGAGAGAGGAAAATAACCCCGGGGTGGGGATAGAGAGGGCAGATGCGAGGAAAGGGGCTGCATTACAAATCAGGATGATGGGGCTGGCCCTGTGGCCCAGTGGTTAAGTTCGTGCGCTCTGCTTCAGCGGCCTGGGTTTCACCGGTTCAGATCCTGGGTATGGACCTACACACTGCTGATCAAGCCATGCTGTGGCAGCATCCCACATAGGAGAACTAGAATGATTTACAACTAGGGTATGCTACTACGTACTGGGGCTTTGGGGAGAAAAAAAAATAAAAAAGAGGAAGATTGGCATGTTAGCTCAGGGCCAATCTTCCTCACCAAAAAGTATACCTTAAAAAAAAAAATAAATAAATTAGAATGACCAAGGAAGACCTCACTGAGAAGGTGACATTTAGCAAGGACCTGGAATAGCTGAGTGAGTGAGCCATGCAGATGTATAGGGGAAGGGATGGAGGAAAGAGCAAGTGCAAAGGCCCTGAGGTGGGAACAAGTCTGGTGTGTTGCAGGGATAGCAAGGAGGCCAGTGTGGCTGCGAAGGAGTAAGTGAGGGGGCAAGCAGTAGAAGATGAGGTCATAGAAGGAAATGAGGAGGAGGTGAGGGCCTTGCAGGTCAGGGGATAACTTGTCTTTTCCCATGAGCAAAGCTTGGTCTGGCTCCTGTGTTGATAATAATCTGTGAGGGGGCAAGGGTGGAAGCTGCGGACATGTTGGGAGGCTGTTGCAATAATCCGGGTGAGAGAGAGAATGGTGACTTGGGCCAGAGTGGCAGTGGTGGAGGTGAAGAGAAGGGATCAGATTGATGGAGCCGACGGGACTTGCTGAGTGATGGATGTGTGGTTGCAGCGTGATCCTCCCAGCTAAGCGGGTGATCTTCGCATCTGGTGCATCCCCTACTCCAAGCAGGCCAGCATCTTTACTGACCATTGGTTGTACTTCTCCTGTTCTCTAACCTGCATTATTCTTGTCCATCTTTCTTTTTCAAGCAAACCTTTTGAGGGCCATCAAAAGTCCTACCTGCCCTACTTAGTCCAGCTGAGTCAATTAAATTTAATTCGGTTTAACAAGTGTTTATTTAATAAGCATTTGGTTTAGTTATTATGCGAAGGAAGACTGAGAATGCAAAGGTTATGTAAGAGAGAGCCAGTATCCTCAAGGAACTTCTGGCTTTTTTGTGTGGCAGAGGGGCTAACTACACAGCTCACCAAGATTCATTCATTTATTCGACAAACTCAACTGCTGTGGCCTCTGGGGAGTTTAATAGCCATTGGGAGTTAGGACTCTTGACCTCCACCTTTCCAAATCCGTCTCTTCCTGGGGCTTCCCGTCTCCTCATTCCCCTAATTCCTTAGCCTCCAGGCCAGGGGTGTCCTTAATTATCTCTTTTCCTTATCTTCCACTTTCAATTTATCAGTGATTCCTGTTTTCGTTGTATCTGGTATATATTCTAAAGCCAACTATTTCTCACTGGCCTCTGCTCACCACTCACGCTACCCTCATCTCTCCCCTGGCCTCTGCAACAACCTCTGAAATTGTCCTGTCTCCATGTCAATTCTTGCCCCCAAAGAATCTGTTCTCTGCCCAGAGGCCAGAGAGAGCTTTTAAAAATGTAAACAAGGGGCCTGCCTTGTGGTGCAGCAGTTAAGTTCACACGTTCCACTTCTCGGCGGCCCGGGGTTCATCGGTTCAGATCCTGGGTGTGGACATGGCACCGCTTGGCATGCCATGCTGTGGTAGGAGTCCCACATATAAAGTAGAGGAAGATGCGCATGGATGTTAGCTCAGGGCCAGTCTTCCTCAGCAAAAAAGAGGAGGATTGGCAATAGTTAGCTCAGGGCTAATCTTCCTCAAAACAATAAATAAATAAATAAAATTTAAAAAATAAAATAAAAATGTAAACAAATTAGGTAATCTTATTCCCCTTGCTTAAAACCCTCCAGTGGCTTTTCACTACAGTTACAGTGAAATCTCAACTTCATACCAAGGGCTCCAAGACCCCTCAAGACGGCCCCTGGCTACTTGTCGGGTCCCTGTGATTCCCATCCTCCTGCATTATTTTCCATTCACACTGGCTTTTATTATTATTGTTGTTGTTGTTTGTGTTACCAACATAACAAACATAAAACTTACCCTTTTGACCATTTTTAAGTGCACAATTCAATGGCATTAAGTACATTCACAACGCCGCACAACCATCACCACTATCCATTCCCAGAACTGTTCACCACCCCAAACAGAAACTCTGTACCCATTAAACAGTACCTCCTCATTGCTCCCTCCTCCTCGTCCCTAATAACTGCCCCCCTACTCTCTGTCTCTGCAGATTTGCCTATTCTGGGTACATCACATAATGGCCTGTGTATGTGTGAGTGTTTGTTGTTGCTTGAACATATCAAAGTCATTCTTACCTCTGAGTCTGCACTTACTAGGGATCCTTCTGATTAAAACACTCTTTCTCCGGTGTCCATAGACCTGGTTCCTTCTTGTCAC